ACCCCTCCTTGGGTTTCCGAGGCGGTATCACTACGGAAGTAGAGTGCCCAACCTTCCTTCTGAGGAGTGGCTGGTGGGTTTGAACCGTCAGCCTTCTGGTTAGCAGTCAAATGCCTTAGGCACTATGCTACCAGAGCTCCTAGTACTTAACCAGCAAATGATATTCAAGTAGGAGAGAATGGCCACTTGGGGGAGATGTGGTAGAGTGTATTAATGTACCAGGAAAGGAGTGTATGAAACATCTCCAGGTTCCTTCCAATTGTATTTCTCACATGACATTAGATTTATGGAGTTTGTAAAGTGCATTGCAATTTATAAAGCAATATTTTCTAAACTCGAAAGCACAGTTCATTAGATAGTTGTGAAATCCATACAGTGATTTACCAATGAGATTTTAAAACAAGAGAAATATGGAAGAGAAGATAATCAAATAGAATAAAATAAAACCAAAAAAACCAATCACTGCCGTCGAGTGGGGTCCAACTATGGTGACTCCTCCTTGGGTTTCTGAGGCGGTATTTCCCAAAATAGAATAGAAAATATCTGAATAATTGCACATTTAATGGTAAATATTTTCTTGTAAAACTTGTTTTAGTTACATTTGTGTATATGAGTATATACTGGGTTATAACATAAAATATATATTTTTATAAGTCAGTGTTAAAAAGTTTGAAAGTCATTACCATAAGATCTAAATATGTTCAAAGCCTGACTATTTTTAGTTATGTTCTTGTCAAATGTGTGTCCTTTATTATTACTTATTGTATTCTTTTTGAACTTTCATTGTGCTAAAATATATAAAAACCAAAACCAAGCCCATTGCTGTTGAGTCCATTCCAACTCATAGAAACTCTATAGGACAGAGTAGAACTGTCCTATAGGGTTTTCAAGGCTGTAATCTTTACAGAAGCAGACTGCCACATCTTTCTACCACTGAGTGGCTGGTGTGTTTGAACAGCCAACATTTTGTTTAGTGGCTCAGCACTTAAACCACTATGTTACCAGGGCTCCAGTAAAATATGTATCATACAATTTTGCCATTTTAACCATTTTTAAGTGCAAATTTTAGTGACTGTAGTTACATCTATAATGTTGTACAACCATCCCTACTATTTCCAAATCTTTTCCAAACAGATACACAGCACCCATTTATTAATAACTCCTCAATCTCTCTTCCTTCCAGCTCCTGATAACCACTTGTTGTTAGATGCCATCGAGTTGGCTCTGACTCATAGGGACCCCATGTAAAACAGAACAAAACACTGCCCAGTCCTGCGCCATCCTCACAATGCTTACTATACTTGAGCCCATCATTGCAGCCACTGTGTCAGTCTGCCTCCTTGAATGTCTTCCCCTTTTTCACTGACCCTCCGGTTTACCAAGCATGATAGCCTTCTCCAGGAAATGATCCCTTCTAACAACATGACCCAAGTAGATGAGACAAAGTCTGGCCATTCTCACTTCCAAGGAGCATTCTGGCTGCATTTCTTCCAGGACAGATTTGTTAGTTTTTCTGGAAGTCCATGGTACTTTCAATATCCTTCGTCAACACCACAACTCAAAAGGATCAACTCTTCTGTGGTCTTCCTTATTCATTGTCCAACTTTCACATACATATGAGACTATTGAAAAATACCATGGCTTGGGTTAGGTGCACCTTAGTCTCCAAAGTGTTATCTTTGCTCTTCAACACTTTATAGAGCTCTTTTGCACCAGATTTGCCCAGTGCAATATGACGTCTGATTTATGATTGCAGCTTCCATTGGGTTGACAGTGGAACCAAGTAATGTGAAATCTTTGACAACTTCAACCTTTTCTCCATTTATTGTGAGGTTGTTTATGGGTCCATTTGTGAGGATTTTTGTTTTCTTTATGTTGAAGTGTAATCCATATGGCAGACTGTAGTCTTTAATATTCATCAGAAAGTGCTTCAAGCCATCCTCACTTTCAGCAAGCCAGGCTGTCGTCTGTGTATGATCTACTTTTATCTCTATGCATTTGGCTGTTCTAGGTATTTCATATTAGTGAGATCAAGCAATGTTTGTCTTTTTGTGTCTGACTGATTTTACTCAGGATCATGTTTTCAAGGTCCATCTGTGTAGCAGCAGCTCTCAGGCTTCATTTCTCTTTATGGTTGAATAATATTCCATTGTATTTATATACCACATTTTGTTTATCCATTTATCTGTTGATAGACACTTGGGTTGTTACCACCTTTTGGCTATTGTAAATAATGCTGCAATGAACATTAGTGTGTATTCTTTTTAAGAAATGATGAAGTATTAGTTGCTATGAAATGAAGTCTCTTTTCACACCTCTGCCCTAAAAAGAAATCACATATAATATAACCTCCCAGCAGGTAGAAAGGAATGAAATATCATGAAAATATGTGGTAAGAAGAATATGTTGCCTAATTCTTTTCACAGAACATCCTGGACCAGGCAGGGTAGGGGTGGGGATAGGCAGGTAGTGGGGGGAAGCAGTGGTGCTGGTCAGGGAGTGGGAAGCTAAGACAATACAAAACTTGTCTTATGCTTGGCTGGTCCCAGGACACAGCGTACTTGTTGATAGTATTTCTGCTGGTGAAGTTAGAGCAGAATGAGGAAGCAAGAGACACAGCTCCAAGTATATAGAAGCCACCAGACAAAAGAATGTGCCATTTGGGTGAGACCAGGCAGAACAATGGGTCTCCAATAAGTTTATTTCACCCAGCCGTTCTCCAACTTTCCAGGAAATTATCCAGGCAGGAAATCCCTATTCTGCTGAAAAGTATCCATAACTGGTCCAGGAACTGGAGCTCAGAAATCAAAGCAGGCCTGGAGTCTAGTTTGGGGCATACCAGACCCTAACATAACATTTATTTCTCTGAATTAACTCCCATGGAAATCTTCCATGAGCTGTTGTGTTCACTTCTGATGTTTAACTGAAGTGCTACAGCCATCAGCAGGCCACCTCAATAACACAGTGTTTGGTCCCTCAGGGTCTTTGGAGCGGCCATTTTTCTAACATCGACTTTGAACATGTTCATTCCTTCTGCGGCCAGAGTGCATTATGGCTGTGTGATGTGTGTCAGAATTTTACAAGGACTGGTGGAGGTAGGAGATACTTTCCTTACAGTTTTCAATATTGCTGGAGACAATGTAGTCCTTTAGATAATTCAATTTCTGAAGAAAATCCCCTTTAGGCAATTTCCCCATCTTCCATTTCAGCCTGCTATCTCAGCTCTCTGGTTGTTTACAATTTTAGATATTTTAATAAAAATGCCTGTGTGATTCCAAATTTATATGCAATAAAGGGCCATTTCATAGGAGCATAGATTCTCAGAGCCAGGAAGGATCTTAGAGATAATCGAATCCAATCCTCTTTATTTTGATAAATAATGAAACTGAAGCTCAAAACCTACAGTTTGTAAAGCAAGGGCTCTTTGCATGAAAACAATTTAAATGAATTTGTTACTAAATCTGTACATTTCCAAGGATGCAGTCTTATGAAGAAATTCAACTCAGTGAAGGAGGCAGCATGATATAGAGCCATACAGAAAATATTTTGGACCTTGTAGACCATATGATCTCTGTTGCATCTACTCAGCTCTGTTGCTATAGTGAAAAAAGAGCCATAGACAATATATTAACAAATAGACTTGACTATGTTCCAATAAAAGGATATCATGCTTGGTAAACTGGAAGGTCAATGAAGAAGAGGAAGGCCCTCAACAAGATGGATAGACACAGTGGCTGCAACGTTGGGCTCAGGTATAGCAAGGATCATGAGGCTGGCACAGGACTGGGCAGTGTTTCATTCTGTTGTGCAGAGGGTCACTATGAGTTGGAGATGACTTGACAGCCCCTAACAACAACAACATGTTCCAATAAAACTTTATTTATAGACACTGAAATTTAAATTTCTTATAATTTCTGCATGGCATGAAATATTAGTCTTCTTTTGATAATATATATTTTTTCCTGTCACTAAAATGCAAAACACATTTTTAGCTCATGAGCTATACAATAAAAAGGTAGGATGCCTAATTTGGATTGTTGGCTATAGTTTGCTAACCCCTGATGTAATGTTTCCCAAACTTTAATCATTCACTTCTTACCTTTGTGACTTTTGTCATATCTATATACTACTTGTATTATGATTTATCTATTATCTTTCCTTATATCAACTCACTCTCTTAAAAAAAATTTTCACCCTAAGGAACAATATCTTTGAAATCGTGGGTTTCATGTGCTGGTTATATCTTTTTCTACATATAGAATATATATGTAACAATCATCATTAAGAATGGAGGTTGTTTACCACTTCAAGTCCAACTCTAGTCCCACTAAAGATATATTAGATATCTTGGGAAATACTAATGTGATAGAAAAACATATGGTCAGCCAGGAAGACTAGGGTCTAGTCACTTAGTGGCTTTGCGGCTCAGGTTCTGTATCTTGAAACAGGAGGGTAGACCACCTGATTGCTGAAGTCCCTTCATACACTAATATTCTATAATAATATAAACACTCTCCACCATGCTTACATTTGAACTACATTCAGATTTCATCTGTGAGTTAAAATAGCTGAATCATGCTGTTAATATCAATAAATTGGGTTATAATAATGTAACCTGTGTGCAAGAAGCAGGAGCCATATGGTAACCACAAACTGAGACCGGAGTCATATCAAATAATGTGTTTTCGCCTCCTTTGCCAGGGTGTGACTTACCCAGCCTGCCATGGAATGTGGAGTAAGTGGGCACCACCTTTGGAGAGAAGCAGACTGGCCACGACGTCTTTTTGTGGTGAGTGTATTAGAATCATGACACGTTTCATTTAGGAATGCTTTAGGCTTTATATAATGGAAAAGTCCTATAAAGAGCATTAAATTGAGTCTACGTTTTTCACATAACAGAAGTCCAAAGGTGAGTAGTTGCTGGTGTTGATTCTACTGCTTAATACTCTGTCAAAGACTTATGCTTGTTCTGACTTTCTACTCCACCATCTTCAGAATGATAACTTTTTATTCTCATATTTGTTTCTAATGCTCACAAGATGGCTGCCACAATTCCATACATCAAGCCCACATTCAAGACAGGAAGAAATGGGGAGAGGAGCCCTAGCCACATCTCTTTCTTTCATCAGAAAAGCAAAACTTTGCCAAAGCCTCCTGGTAGACTTCTACTTATGTTTCCTTGCTCATAATTACATTGTGTGCTTTACTAGCAGGAGTCTGGTGGCTTAGTGCCTAAGGCATTTGACTGTAACCAGAAGGCTGGTGGTTCAAACCTACTCCTAGGGAGGAAGGTTGGGCAATCTACTTCCCTAGTGATATCCCCTCGGAAACCCAATGAGGGGTTGCTATGAGTTGGATCCGACTCTACGGCACATAATAACAACAACAGCAATAGCTGCAAGGGAGGCTGGGAAGTTAAGTGCCTAGTGTTTCTAACCTCTCTAGTGGAGGGGCAAGGCAGAAGGGGGTTGGAAGTGGTTGTTGGATTAGTTAACATGACATCTGCTGAGGTCAAAGGCAGAAGCGATGTGATCATCAAACCTACTTTTTTTTTTTTTTTTTAAATTGAGGTGGAATTCACATAACCATTTTAAAGTGTACAGTCCAGTGGCATTTAGCGTATTAACTATGCTCTGCAGCCTCCACCTCTCTCTAGTTTCAAAACTCTTTCAGCACCCCAGAACACTTGGTACCATTGAGCTGTCACTCCCTATACCTCCCCCTGGCCCCCTGGCAACCACTAATCTACTGTCTCTATGGATTTGCTAATTGTAGATATTTATATAAAAGGAACCATAGAACATGTGATCTTTTTTGACTGGCTGCTTTCATTTAGCATGTTTTCCAGGTTCATCCAACTTATAAAAACAAACCCAACTTATAGCATGTATTAATACTTCATTGCTTTTTATGGCTGAATGGTGTTCCTTTCTATGGATACACTACATTTTGTTTGTTTGTTTATCCATTCATCAGTTAATGGACGTTTGGATTGTTTCCACCTCTGGGATTTAGTAATAGTGCTGTGAACATCTGTGTACAAGTTTCTAAGTAGACACGTTTTCATTTTTTGGAGTAAATACCTAGGGGTGGAATTGCTGAGTCATATGGGAAGTCTACATTTAATTTTTTGAGGAAACTCTGAATTATTTATATACTGTATTTTTTATGTAAATAACATGCATTCTACACTTTTGCCAACTGTGGCCTTCTCCCACTAGGTATTTTCCATAAGTGCGCAGTGACGCATACATTATTTGCAAGAAAATGTGGTACACACACATGTATTTGTGTGTATATTTCAATAGGCTTTTTTTCTTAAAGGAATTCTGGTGGTGCAATGGTTAAGGCATTTGGTTACTAACCAAAAGGTCAGTTTGAACTCACCAGCCACTCCACAGAAGAAAGATGAGGCAGTCTGCTTCTATATAGATTTATAGTCTTGGAAAGCCTATGGGGCAGTTCTACTCTGCCCTATAGGGTTGCTATGAGTCAGAATCAACTCGAAGGCAGTTGGTGGGTGGGTTATTTTTTAGAAAAATTTTAGATTTACATCCACTCTTCTTTTAACAGATGAAGAAACTGAAATGAAATAAAATTCAATGACTTGTACAAGGCCACACAGACACTAAATTGTGGAGCACCTGACCCTTGATTCATATTTTTCGCATTATACACTACTACCATGTACACATTACTATAGAGACATTTTTATTAAATTTGTTGTTACGTTCCAGATGATCAAAATAAAGACCATCTATCTTACCTAGTACATTAGTGACCCCTAACTAGTGACGTAAGGAACTCTGGTGGTATAGTGGGTAAGGCATTTGTCTGCTAACCAGAGTATCAGCAGTTCAAACCCACCAGCTGCTCCATGGGAGGAAGATGAGGCAATCTACTTCCATAAATATTTACAGCCTTGGATACCCAACAGAGGTCCCCATGAGTCAAAATCGACTCAATGGCAATGAGTTTGGTTTTTTTGGTTAAGTAGTGATGTGACTTTTATTCTTTGGTGTCTAAATTTTACCTTGCAAAGTTTGCCTCACTCCAAGTCATCTCTTTGGAATTGCCCCCTCTATGTCACTCTATGAATAACCAGTATCCTGAAAGGTCTACGTAGGTACCAATCAATAACAGAAAAACAACAGCACTCACCACCATCATCAGCATAGTTGTAAAAAATATTAATTTTATTTAATTTTATTTAAATGGCAGAAAGAGTCCAAAGGGCAAATTGTTTAGGCTAACAGAAGTCATAATGTGACCAGAGCAGAGATAGGATCAGAACTTGAATCTCCCTGATTTTTTAAGTTAGTGATCCCAAACACTATGCTGTACTGCCCTCCTAAGAGACATTGTGGTAGTTAAAGTTGCGTGTCAACTTGACTGGGTCTGATTTTGAGTGGCTGGGCATCTGGATGTAGTTATTCCCCATGCTGAGACTGGTATTCCACTCCACGGTGGAATGTGAGCCGTGAGCAGCCTTAGGGATGTGGTCTGCTTCCAGTATATAAGGAGAAGCTTGGAGAAAGGCCTGAGCTTTTGACACATCTGGATCTTGCATTTGGCTGAGTCTTCATCTCAGTAGCCTGCTATGTTGTCTGTCGATCTTGGGACTGTTAATGAACTTGAATGAGTGGCCTTGCCATGTTGCTAGATAATTTTGGGACTGTGCTATTTTACTTGTTGACCTTGGGTTTGTGAGCCTCAGCAGCCAGCTGTTGTCTGAGTTAAGAGAAGCCTTCAGCAAGAGGCAGAGCAGAAGCCCAAGGTTAGGGAGCTTTCACCCAGCCCTTAGAGCTGGCACTTTGAGCTCAGACTTTTAGCCTCCTAAACTGCAAGAGAATAAATCTCTGTTCAAGCCATATAACTTGTGGTATTTTCTCTTAAAGCAGTACTAGACCACCAATACAGATGTCAACCTGTTCATTTTAGATAGGGGAGGTCTTTGTTTCTATTACTGTTTTTATTTATCTCTTTCTTATTGTCTCTACCTTCTAAAATAATAATAAAGCTTTCCTTGGTATTTGGTGTGAAATATTCATCAATGCACCTAGTTTGGAATTGCATACACAGTTGAGATATCTTCATATCTTAATCTTTTCTTGTTCTTAGAAACTGTCTCTGTCTTCTCATTTGTAGTTCACAGTAATCTCCACTCCTACTTCTGGCCTTACACCAACTCTACAGAAGTATAACACTCTGCACCAGCTGACCAGATAGAGTGTTAGATCCCTGACCTCATTTTCTTTGAAAGGTTTATTTGTAAGGTCTTTCATTTTGATTTGCCAGCAAAACAAGACTGACTTGCAGTCACTCTGCATTCTTAGTGTGACTTTATAGCTTTAAAAGGGCTGAACTAAGAAACGAGTCAACTTTCCAGAAAAGTTAAACTGACCAAAGTCACAGGGCTTATTACAATTCCCAGCTAAGGCGTGGCCTTGATTTCAAAGAACAACCAAGGGAAATGTCATTACAAGGAAATTCAGATGGGGCTAAAGCTAATCAATTCTTAAACTGAAAAAATATTGCAGTTGAAATGGACTTTAGAAAATATCTAGTCACAACCTCTTGTTTTTTTTTTTTTTTTTTTACTTGAGAAATCTGAGGCTATGGAGGGAAAAAAGGATTTAAATTCTCACAGCTAGTGAGGATAGAACTGAGACCTTTCTCTCCCACCAACTCAATTCTTTCCCCTTCCCCACACCATTCAAAGAATATTTGAGACTCACCTATGCTAAGTGGTGGGCACACAAAAAGGACCAAGGAGTTTCATGGTTTCTCAAAAACTTAAATGTATAATTACCATAAACCTAACCCACTGGCCTTGAGTAGATTCCAACTCATGGTGACCCCATGTGTTACAGAGTAGAAATACTCTATAAGGTATTCTTGGCTGTAATATTTTTAAATTTTATTAAAAAAAATATGGTGATTTGGGTGAAAGTTTATAGAGCAAACTGATTTTCCATTTAATAATCCATACACATTCTGGTTTGTGACATTCACTGCAATCCCCACAATGCAACAGCATTTTTCTCACTTCCTCCCCAAGCCTACCACTTCCCTTAGTCCTTCCTTCCCATCCCCTCCTGCCTATCTCTGGGTAAATGCTGCCCTCTTGATCTTGTATGGTTGATTGTTCTAATGAGTGCATAACCTCCTGATATCACTATTCACCTTATAGGGCTCCCTATTATTTGGCTGAAAGTTGAGCCATGAGGGTGGAGTTCAGTGCCTGGCTTGAAGGATGTTTCAGGGCCACAATATCAGGGTCTTCATTAGATCAATAAGCCTGTTTTTTTTTTTTTTTTTATGATTTTTAGTTTTTCTCTCACTCTCTCTGGGACCTCCCATTGTGATCCCTTTCAGAGTGGTCTGCAGTGGTAGCCAGACACCATCTAGTTCTTCCTGTCTTAGGGTCATGGAAGCTAGGGTTCATGTGGTCCATTCGTCCTTTGGACAAATAGTTTCCTGTGTCTTTTGCTCTGATCAGGGAGGGTCCAAGAGTTGCACCTTAGATGGCCACTCACAAGCTTTTAAGACCCCAGTCACTACTCACCAAAGCAGGATGTAGAACATTATCTTTGTGGTCTACATTATGCCAATTGACCTAAGTGTACTCTAGACTATGGTCGTGAGTCCCCATGCCCAGCAACTGATTCCTTCAAGGTGTCTGGTTTTGTCTAAGAAATTTTCACAACTTTACCCTCTGTATGTTCTGCATTCACAGATATATCTGCAGCACATATAAATACATAGGTAGAGATCTCTCCATCAGAC